TTTGGTGCTTGTTAGACCATTAAGTGACAACACAAAACATACATCGGTAAATTAGTTTTTGTTTTCGAAGTTTGGAATATTATTCGGAAGTACAGTTTTTTTCCGGACAGTTGCGATTACAGTTCTTGATCACTTCCTAAATACGATTAATTTTGTGGGTACATTCTGAGTTTATTTTTCAGTAACTCACTTTAACACTCCCTATTCAGTATTACAAATAGCCTTAGTTCGTTGCAATATCATTTGTTTTTCGGAACCTTTATTTTTCCCCTTTTTAATAGGTATTACTGGATACTACAATATAGTATAATTACTGCAATTTGGACTATTACATGCAAGTGGTTAGCCATTTAGTTTAATATTATAGAATTGATGATTACGGAATCTCTTGTATTTTCCCGTTTGCTAAAAGTTAATTTTAGTTATTTGTTTTCGTTTAAATGGAGTTTGTATGCAGTTTTTAACCGACTTTAAAAAAAGGAGAAGGTTCTCAATTTGACTGTATATTTCTTTTTGTTTTTTTTTGTATGTATGTTACGCGATAACTCCGGTATTTGTGAACGGATTTTCATGATTCTTTTTATGTTCGAAACAGGGTACCTCCATAGTGTCCCATTTAATGTTGACGAAAATTATCCACCTCTAAGGGTGGCTGTTCATTTTTATAATAGCGCCTAAATTTTATTGTAAGGGGCAACTATTTTAATGGTTGATTTTGCTATTCTCCAATTCAAGACGTTTTTCTCTCGCAATATACTTTGAGAGTGAGAACCGATTTTTATTATCTCCTGTGCCAAGTCTCGTATAGTGGCGAACTAGGGGATGAATCCGGGCTTACTCACTTTCCGGTAACCGATTTCACTAAAACTTGGTAATTTTTGAGGTCGGCTTTTTTAGTACTCTGTACTGAGATTATTCAATTTATTATTCGCTATTCTCGTGTTTCTTATTGTTTTGTTTTAGGCTAAGTAAGTCGTCTGCTAAGCTATTCTGACATAGGTTTTTTTTATTTCTCCTTTAATATACAATTTATACTTATTCTAAAGACTTGACAACCTGGGCATCAGCTTCTTAGTAAGACAAGGTTCTTTTCAATTACATATATGTATATCTATTCTAGTTAATTATTCATTCATTATGTTACATTAAATACTAGGTAATTTTCTAAACTAAAACTGTTCTTAACCAACTGAGCTACAGCCCTAGTCAGAAGATCTTGCGAGTTTCTCTGTGTGTTTGTTACGAGATCTTTGTACTGCCAGCGCCATTGTAATAACGCTAGGTGGGATCGGCACAACATGTATTTCTCTACCACTCTCCCCTAACAGCCGCCTTTTCCATATTCACACCTTTCTTATCCATGTCATCTTTCACACAATCCATCAATCTGTTTTTGGCTTTCCTCTCCACTTATGTTGTAAGAACCTAAAACTAAATATTCTTATTATTATCAACATTTGCGTCAATTTTCTGTTTAGTCAGTCTGGTATCCTTGTTCTGTGAAAATTCTTATTAATTTACACTTCTCTTTTGTAAAGCTTCGAAATCTTCTTCTTGTTTATTTACAGGTACGTCCACCCCCTAACAGATGATATAGAGTACAACTACCCAGCTACAGTACGGTTTCCTTATGACACGTCAGTGCGGACTACCGAACGGTACATCGTCGCCTACTGCCTCGTTCTGTTTACATTCAATTACATTTCCTATTTCGTAGTTGTTAACGACCTTATCATGCAAGCCCAACTTATACCTCTAGTGTGCCAGTATGCAGTTCTTTGTGACTGTTTTGAGAATATCATAACTGACTGTAGCGAAGGATTTTCAGGTATAATAATTTAGTCATATTTTTATTCCATCATGTAACATGAAGTCCGTAAGATTACATTGTGCAATGCTTGATGATAGCCAACATTTTGTTCACAGATTTAGACGATGTAAAATTGTTTGCAAATGAAAAATTTCAAGAAATTTATTATTCTAGATTGAGAAAATTAGTAAAACAGCATAAAATTATTTTAGTGTATGTACTTTATTTTTTACAAACGTCATACAGTTTATCTTAAAGTTATCGTCATTGAATGTTTGTATTGAAAATTTCAGCCACACACAGGAGCTAAAGCAGGCACTAAGTGCTCCAATGCTAGGACAATTTCTTGCAAGTGGAATTCTCATGAGTTTGGCTGCTTACCAATCGTCGGCGGTAAAAGTAGCTCTTATTCTTAATACTATTTGTTCATTTTCGTTGAATATATTGTCATTCCGTTTTCTTGCAGGCTTTAAATAAAAGTATTATCAAGACGGTAATGAACCTCCTCTATTTAGCTTATAACATGTTCATATTGTACATCCTGTGCAATTGGTGCGATGAAATCAAAATGCAGGTCAGATTTGTAATGTTTAATCGCGGTATCTAAGTCATTATTAAATTTCTTCCTTCTGTTGTAACTTTACTTGTTCGGTTTTTCTTGGGAAGAATTTTATTATTAATTATTATGTCCATTATAATGTATTGTGTCCATTATAATTTATTCATTCATAAATACCGTCTATTCATGTCATTTATACTATTTATGTAGAGTCAGCGAATCGGAGATTCTGTTTATTTATCGGGTTGGGAGCGTGGTGTGGTGGCATTACCTGGCGTGCGCGCAAGTCTTATGATCATAGTGGCTAGAGCTTTTAAGGCTCCTGTTTTTTCCGCTGGAGGAATTTACGATCTTTCATTGATATCATATACAACAGTAAGTTCAATTATTTTTGTCTTATTCGAACAAGAAACGCAGTAGCAATTTAAAACTTTATTCATATCTTATTAACTTCATTTATTTCTATATACCATGCTATACTCACAAATGATGAAATTGAGCATATAGCTCCGTGTTCACTGAAGTTACTAAAATTTACAGTCATCTCAATTACCATCTAGTTTAGTATGTTAACGTGTAAATTAACGCTCTTTATTCACTTTTCAGTTGGTAAAAACGTCGTACAGTGCTCTGACAGTTTTACTAAGTGTTCGTCAACGTGATACGTCATAAAATATAAGACAGAAATCATCATTGTTCCCGATTAGTACATTAAGATTTATATTTAGCCAAACTGAAATGAATTAGTGGCACATGTTTGCAAGTCTTTTAATTTTGATAAACGTGTCAAATTCAATCACAACGGATAGTCAAATGTCATTGAAATCTGAGTGGCAAACGTGAAACAGCAATCGCGAAAACTGCCTGTGTAGTGGCTAGTATTGTAGTGGGCATTATCATGATAATAACGAGTGATTGTTCCAACTTATTAACATTCTCACAAAACATTTCTAAGTAATGTACGTACCTTTCCGAAATTTGTCAACGTCGTTCGTCGAATACGAATTATAAATACAGAGCCGAGTATTCCAGCTACAAAGTGTTCTAGGCTGCTGACGAGAGCGCGTCATTATATTTCAAGAATATTTTTAATCGTCAAAATTATATAAGCGATACAAAATGAATATTCTTGGTTACTTGGTGACTCTCGCTAACATACAGGTAAATTTTTATTTAATGATACGTAATGTATTATTCAAGGTGCGTCAAAAATTTATTTGCACAATTTGCACTTCTGTGTGAATTTTAACACAAAGTTATTCTTTGTTTTGTAGTAATACCGGTGTTCGAATAGTTTGTGGCATGTTTTCTGTGTTTCATTATTTCCTAAACTGAATAAACAATTTTAACAATTCACCAAAGTGGAACAGAGGAGAATTGAGTCCCGTTAACCAATAGTACTCGGTGTTTATACAACGCCACGGTACATCGTCGTAATAAATAGCATAGTCGCTTTGTAATTGTCCTGTGGGTGTTAAATATTTAAAGCCTCTTCTCAGGATCCAGCTGAAAACCAGCGCTGAGACTCTACCTAGTATAAAGCTGAGCTGGCTGACCTTTTCGGCTATTTTGGTGCATTTTTTGTTTGATTTTCTTTTGTTTTTTATTCACTGTGTTATCTTACATTACTACCCGACTCTTCACCTACTCGCAGTAGAGCTATCGGGTTTGGGCTCATTAAATTGAGGTCGACGATAAAGCGTGCAAACCTAAATAATACCTATTCTCTCTCGCCTTAAAAAAGTCCAAGTTGTAGCGTTCGGAGCCGCTCGCCATATAACCGCTCACGCGATACATGCAGCCGTAGACGCAAACCACACCTAGAGGTGCCGGTGATGATTTTATACCGATTTATCGGATATCGAAGTTATAACAGGTAAAAGAACTAATACTAATTGCTATTTCGGTAACTACTCTAGCAAACCATAAAGTTTTTAATGCCTGGGTCTGTCATTTAAAAAAAATAAACAACTTCAAAAATACGTCACGACAATCGTGTGTGTTATTGTTTAGGCTGGTGATTTCGGTGTTTATTTATTGAAAACATACCGTAAGTAGCGTTTTTTAAGTTTACCCTGAATATAAATGTTTATAAACTATACTTTAAGGAGTAATTTCATGGTAAACGTTAGAACCACTCAAACGAAATATTATCATATTTACCCAAGTACACCAAAAATTTCATTAGTGCTTTTTAAGTGCAGGATTTGCGGTGTATTACTGCATTTTATTTGAGATGTTTTTGTTGTAGTACGGAGGATATTTATTTAGCAATGCAGAATAATAATTTTTATTTATAAAAACTTGTATTTAAACTGAACCTTTTTCTAATTTGCGAAACCAAATAGCCGCCATCTTGCGGTAGGATGAGCGCATCGCGTGAGCGGATAAATGTGGAAGCAAAACACTTTGTGAGAATCCTGGGTATATCCGCAATATAGGGATGAAACTCCAGCCCACGGCTAGTCCCGGTTATGGAAAGGTGAAAGCGGAATCAAAACATGAAATTCCGTCGCACACTCTCCGTAATATATCCTGTATAATACCGATAGGCAGGCTACTTTACGACGTTGTTCAAGGCTCTGCTTTGTCTCTACTAAATCCGAGTCACCTATACGACTGTTGTCACGCTTGTCGATTGAGTCCAAGGTGGCCATTTGGTATTTAGCAGAGCCATCCTATCAGTAGCAGCAATACTCCATCCACGGCCGCAGTTGTGCTTGGTATAGCTGAAGCAACTGTCCCGGTGTGAAGTGACGTCTCACTTTGGAAAGAATCCTAAACTTCCTTGCTGCATTTTTGGCCATAGATTCAGTGTATTTGCCGAAGTTCAGATTGGACAACAGGTCAATTCCAAATAGCTGGAGACGGTCGGCTGTCGCTATATATTCATATATCACGAAAAGTCGAATGATGACTTTATTGACTTTTTAGAGTAGGTACACTGCCATGCATCGGATTTTTTTTATTTCCGTTTTTTTAACTCGAAAGTTACTTTAATAATGCAATTTTGAATACTTTTAAGTTGATCTAAAGTAAATAAACGTTAGAAACTGTTTTCAATATATTTCATTCAACTTTAAATATTAAGAAATATTACTATGATCTCATCAAGAGTCGATAACTAGAATCTGGCGTCTTCTATTTTCTGAAAGAGATTGGCAGCTTTCCTGTATATTTACCGATTTTTGTCTGAATATTTTTTTCATGCGTTGCAAGAATAATACCAGTTTTTGATATTAATTTGTAATAAAATTTGCAGAGTTTCGGGGAACCCGGTTCATCTCTAAAGGACATTTCCATCCGAGTCAACGAATGCGGCAGGCTCTTTGACGAACTGAAAAACGATAGGGCATTCAATTTTGAGTGCTTCAGGCAGAATAGCTATTGCAAAGTGGGCTCCGTCGGAAAGTATATATCACGGAATTTTCATGACTACATTTTCAATGGCAACGTGGATCCCAGACACGAAGGGTTAATTCTAACACTGTACTACACAGATGCCTCAGCTCCTGATGCCGTAGTAACTAGATATGCACAGAATCCAGCAGTGCTAGACAATAGTGACCTTCTTGAAGAGGCTCCCATTACTGAAGCTAATTCTCAGCATTTCTTCATGGCTAAACCAGAGATTCCCGAGGAAGATGAGCATGCCGCAGAAAACTATATGAACGGATATTGGTTCGAGTGATGTTTTCTTTTCAATATCCCGAACTTAGTCGCAATATATAACGGTTTCTTTAGGCAACTTGTGTAAACGAAATCGAAAAGGCTTAAAACTATTCAACAGCTATTGACCTCATAAAATCATAATAACTCTAGGCTTAAAACTGTCCTTAACATAAAGACTATAGTAGATTGACTTTAGTTTAAAATACGTTAACGATTATTTAGACCATATAAAGAGGAACAACGCCACTAATCACTCAACTGAACTAATTGAAACAAAATATACTTAAGTACTTCAATATATTTCTTCGCAATATTGACGTCACGAGCACAAGCTACTCAGTATTATCAGAAAGTCGTACAAAAGCTTCAATCACTATTTTGAAACATTGTAATTTAAAACAATAAAATGTAAATCAATAACAAATTTTTGTTGTTTCATTTTCATCTCATATCATACGTAACATCAAATGAACTTAAATAAATAGTCAATATGTTTTCATAAAAAATTCTTAAAAATGCTGGCCAACTTATGAACTTTATATGTACGTGAAAAAATGCCGTGGTAGCTTACTGGTTCGAATCCGGACTCGCACCTGCGAATTTTTCGGAAAATATCTATGTGCGAAGTTCAATTTGAAATTTACCATGAGTTTTTCGGTGAAGGAAACATGCACGTCGAAGAAGGTTCGCAACCATCGGAAAACGTATAAAGTCCTCGACCAGCATTAAGCCAGCGTGGCAGACTATGTGATCTAACCACTCGCCTAAGAGGAGACCCGTACTCAGTAGTGGTACGCATAAATGGGTTGACGATGATGTAGAAATACGGTATAAATTTAAATTAATCTTTTTTCCATGTAACCCATATAGAAAACATGTCACCCTTTTCCAAAACCGTAGTACAGTAGATGTAAACGAGCCCTGTAACTCACCCGTGGTGGGATCGAACTCGTTAAATTTAGGAAGTGAACATTTGTAAATTGGTTCTTGTCGGGCTATTTTTGGTATTGCCCTCGGAGTTATCATTATTCTGGTATTCATAGTACAGGAAATTCCCTAATTTGAGACCAGAAAGAACAATGGCAAAATCATAGTTAAAGAATTCGTTGGCGTCTTCAAATGTTTTAATAACAAATTTAAATAAAATAAAACCAATAGATTTTTCAAATTATAAAAACGGCCTATCTAAGTCTGGAAATAAAATTATGAAATTAAAAGAAACTAATGACTAATTAGTACGTAACCGGATTGATATCTACAACTGTCAGTATCTTAGTTTCTTAACGTTGAGCGACATCTAGCCGCCAAAAAAAGAATTTCAGTACCTAGGATGGATATGGTCCACATTAAGTTAGTTCACGTAATAAGAGATTAACTACTTTATAACAAAAAATAAAGTAGATAATTCCTTCTCCAAAATGCCACGTGAAGAAATGGTAAAAACTCACAAATAGTTCCCGAAATCAGGGATAGACGGCATGTTTCACAAAAAAATTATTTGTGTCCCAGTTTCCAGCGCAGTAGTCTACGATAAGTATTAATTAACTCAGTTTTTTTGTTATGATTTCACTTCATGCCTTTTGACCATTGACCATGACCAGTATAAAAAAGAATTTCCTCTGAACTTTCGTCACGTCATAAACCCACGACACCATTCAGCTTCTATTAATTGTGTTTGTAGTTTATTTTGACATAATAATACAACAAACATATTTTGTTCAATTACGTAACACATAATCTTCAGAACTTCAAACTGGAATATAATTAATTCCAGACTTCTCAGAATAGTAAACCCAAAACAAAATTTGTTGAGGAATTTCAACTCTATATTTCACATATTTTTCATAAACAGATGCATACAAATCATGTCAACAAAAATTTATATGGGAGTTTGCCATTCTTTTTTGGTGTGATTGTCTAGCAGTTTTTCCCTAAATAGATAGATAGATAAAAAGCTTTATTCACCACCATGACATCAGATACATGATATAGGCATTCACTTATATATAACAATAATAATATTCTTATCTACTAATATTACACTTGGAAGTCATGGCAGTGAAAAAGGCGCTGGCTCAGCATAAATCACGCGGCTGCCCGCGACGCTGGTATTCTGCCAGGACCCTATTGGATAGAGACGCCACTCGCAATCCAACAAAAATCTGATTTCATTTTTAAATTATTAATTTTCAATTTTCAATCTTCTTCCTCCCAACCTCCACACATAATACACTATTTGCAGTCCTGAAACGAGGTACAGCCAAGAGCATAACAAGCCCGGCACCTTGGACCTTGGACCGTTCCTATCGCAAGCGGCACAGAGTTGAAATTAAATCTTAAACGTCAAGCATGACGCGCTCCCGACCCTGCACGTGGACAAACAAGAGCCATATAAATACCCTAGCCACTCAAATCCCCAATTTTTGCAAATTTAACAGATGCTCCCGCAGCTTTAGCTTAAACGTTTTTTTTTGAAACATGAAATACTTCTACAGTAAATATCAAAGTTATGATATTAAAGTAAATAAAACATACTGACTGACCCAAATATCTGGGACCATGTGATGTGTAAAGTAATTTATAATATACCTTCAATATAATATATTATATATGATTATATACATCATATTTTAAAATTGACTTTCAACTAATTCAAATTAAAGAGAAATAATTTATTAGTTTTTCGGCCCGGGTGTAAAGTCCTATTTTTCGAGATACGACGAGATCGCTTTCCGGTGTCGATATGCACAAGCGTACGATTCTATTATAAAGTTCCACTGAGAAGTCACATAACATTCGTGCTAAACCTACATGGTATTGTTAATATGGAATCGAGAAGGACTTTGCATTTTTCTATATTGATGCACTCCATTGTCAAATACAAAAGTACACGGGAGATCGGCTATCATTGTGGCAATTTGATTCCGTGTAGTTGCGGCTCGGAACAGTTCTGTGGTACTTACGTTGAACCACTGCAAGATTTTGAGGCCATGTGGTTTTTCTACGACCACGTCGTCTGCGGCCCCGGATTTTTCCCTGCAGAATGAGTTGCGGTAGAGAGTGTTTATCACTCCGCATGATATGCCCGAAATACTGCAGCTTCCTCCTTTTTAGTGTTTTCAGGAGCTCCATGCCTTTGTGCATACTCCGCAATACGTTGTCATTGGTTACTCTATCTGTCCACGACATTTTCAAAATTCTTCGATAAACCCACATATCGAAGCTGCTAACCGTTCGCATAATGTCTGAGTTAGTGTCCATGCTTCTACTCCGTACAAAATAATTGAAAATGCGTAACACCGCACTAAACGGCATCTTGTCGATAATTTGAGACTAAGGGTCGTATTCTAGAACTCTACTCAATGCTCAAGTCAGGATTTGAGTATGGTTTAAAGCACTCGAAATCATACTCAAGTCCCTGCCATTAGGGTCGTATTTCCAGTGCTTGTGTTTCCAGTGCAATCCTTACTTGAGCATTGAGTAGAGTTCTAGAATACGACTCTTAGATTAAAGGAAAAGAGAGAAGAAAGGAGGTGGCTCATTTTAATAAAAGCACTCCTGGGTTGCTCTATGCAACATCTAACTTCTATTCTGTGGTCTTCCTGGTCATTTACCATACAGCCAAGGTATTTAAAAGAACAGATCCTGTCAAGTGGTGGGTTCTTAGCGTTGAGGACAGCAAACTTCATATACTTTAACTTAATAATTAATTAACTGCCTCTGTAGCCGAACGGTTACATGCCGGACTGCCACGCAGAGGTCCCAGGTTCGATTCCCGGGCCGGGAGAAATATTTGTACGGCCTACATTTATTTCTCTTGTGAGCTTGGGTGTAATTTGTGGTTGTCTATGTGTGTGTCCACGGCACCCGCGACAGAGGGTTACCCTAGTGCGGGGCTATGTTGAGTGTGTGCGTTATTATTGTTATTATTATTATTATTACTTAGTCTTTTTGAAGTTAATCATCGATCAACGATCGGCACACAGATCGTTCTGTGCGCTGCTCGAGTCTATATGATTGACCAGTTGCTGTAGATATTCCATCGAGCTGGCAAGTAGTAACTATACAACCTTTGTTTTCACAGAGCTATGATTATGTATTCTGAAATCGCTATACTTTAGTCATCTAAGGGCCAACGATAACCGTCGGACGGCAAGGGGACATTAATTTTATCAATGCATATTTTATTTTATACAATTGAAGTAAGGTATAAATTTCAGTGCTCTGACGCAAAGAGAAATACGCTGTAATGCTCTGAGGTAGGTCATAAAACACAAATAATAATAATAAAATTATTTTCTTACCTTTAATACCTACCTTAGATAATAAGTAATTATATATAATTAATAAATATAAATTAAAGTAAGTTACGTAATGTCATTAATGGGTAATTGTCATTTATTTAAAAAAAACTGAGCTTTCGAAGGAAGTGTCATTCCACAGCAGTTTAGCTCACAAGATTACATTGCCAGTAAGCACTCTTTTTCGAATATTTCGAAATGCGGCCACTCTCGCTCGTAACACGGCGAAAATTTGTAACGTGATAAAAATAATTTCAATTAAAATAGCAATTATTCAATTGTATAAAATAAAACACACATTGATATATTTAATGTCCTCTGCCATACCGTCTGCCGGTTTGTACTGGCCTTAAATCAATTTCTAGACTGCCTATGCATATTCCCAGTGAAAAATAATTTGAATATATAACTCATATAAAAATGAAAGTATCCCCGAGAAATAAATACCAAACGAATAAATGTTAGTGTATTCAGAGATAAATGGTGTCAACGGCCTGGAGTGAAGTATATGACATTCGCAAAGAATTAAACTGTAACCAACGTCAATGTCTTATTCATAACAATTGTTTTTGTTTATGTAAAGGAACGTATTGCCACCGCACCTATTTCTGTTGCGTAGTAATGTGAGCATTACTCCGTTTCAGTTTTGAGTGAGAAGTATGCTGGTAAAATTACAAGGGATTACATTATTTTTTTTAACTACATGGGACTTGTTTTGTTTTTATAATATATTAAGTCACGGGACGAACAAATCGTGCGCCTCATGGTAAGCTACACGCCTGTCCATAACAGTTGCAGTGCAACTCAGAGCTTTAAATCGCAAAGATGGGCACAGCCCCTGCGCCCGTCACCCTGAGACATAATTTGAGAAGTCCCATGTGCTTGTAATTTCACCAGCGCCCTTATACCCTTCAAAACCGGAATACAGTAATGCTGACATTACTAAAACTAGTCAAGTTAATGTCTAAGGGTAGCAGTGCCTCTTAGATCTTTACCATTTAAGCTGCACAGCAGTAGTAAGCATATCGTTTACAGATGCACGATTTATTCATCCTATCGCTTGATATAACAAAAAAGCAGAATTTACAAGGCGTTAACAGACATCAGATTTACTACCTCAGTGGCCGAACGGTTACCATGCTGGACTGCCACGCAGAGGACCCGGTTTCTATTCCCGTGCTGGGATAAATATTTGTATGCCCTTCATTTATTTCTCTCGTGAGTTTGGATGTAATTTGTGGTTGTCTATGTGTGTGTCCATGGCATCCGCAATACAGGGTTTCCCTAGTACGGGTATAGACCCATCAAACACTCATAAAAGTGAGTGCGCGTTATTATTAGATGCAAACGATGTCTTTTCATATTATAACAAATGATCCACGCAAAGGTGATTATAATTCTTCAATTATCATTTTTGTGTTTTGTTTAAATACAATGCCACTTTAGAAAATTTGATACCAACATTTCGAAACTATATAAAAATCACACATATTTGTTTTTCCAAACAAACTAACTTCTCGGCCCTTTACAGATCCCGTAGTCACGGCTGACTCTCAGCGCGATTTGGACCCGAAAAATAATTTCATTTTAAATGTAATAATAATTATAAGGGTAAATGATAATTAAACAGAGCATATACACACTCACACACACCACACAACATATAGGTATGTAGTATATAGTTCATGTATTCTCACACACTTACACAAACGAAATAAATACACACACGTGCATACTCTCCTTGTCATTAGAGGTATGTTAGAGTTATTTATTGTCATTTTGTTATATTGCGTTGTTAGAATTTTAATGTAACGTGAATTGCTTAAATGACAAACTTTGTAAAAAAAATAAAAACTAAAATAAAAGTTTATGATTTAAGAATATAAATCGGATTTAAAAAGTTTACAAATAAAACAAATAAATAAGTAAATAAATTTGCTAAGTCTAACAATCGCGAAAACTTAATAATTAATTTGTCTCGTTTCTTCAGTTCACAATGTCTTACTAATGTTTATAAAACTTATTGTTACCACAAAATTATTCATAGTGTACTAGCAGACGTTTGTACAAGTAACAAGCTTAATATAATGTCACAAATGTGACATACTGTTATATTTTAAGGATCCATCCACATTCCAGTGCCCCAAGGAATACATTGCGGGAAAAAATACCGACGAAATTGTTTCGTAAAAGAATTGTTTATTAGCCAATAATAACAATAATAATAATAATATATTTATTTCAGACAACTATTTGGTCCACATGTGTTAGTAACAATTTTATCTTAAAAATTATGTTAATAAACATGCGTTATTACGTATTCGTAGTGGCAAAATTTTCAATGTTTTAATTTGAGATAACAGTCGTCCAACTTCACAACAAACTGTTAACTTCACAAAGAAACTGTTCTATATACACCACTACATGTATGTATTTCCACAATGAAGCGTTCAAACGTTATCTATGGCCAGATGCGCTTGTCAAAACGTTGTAATAAATTTACGCACGCCCTTTGTTTACAAACGGGACGCATGCGGGGAGCCCATCATAATAATAATAACGCACACACTCGACATAGCCCCGTACTAGGGAAACCCCTCGCGGGTGCCATGGACACACAAATAGACAATTACAAATTACATCCAAACTCACGAGACAAATAAATGTAGGCCATACAAATATTTCTCCCGGCCCGGGAATCGAACCTGGGACCTCTGCATGGCAGTCCGGCATGGTAACCGTTCGGCCACGGAGGTAGTTAAATCATAGCATGCAATGTGCCGTCTATGGAGTCGTTTACGTTGCGCGGCGCGAGCCGGCCGCCATGTGTGTGGATGCGTGAGCGCAGCGCGCGCGCAGAGAGGCAGAGCCCGCGGCGGTGCGCGGACGATGGCGTGGTGGCTGTGGACGGGTCTACTGCTGGCCGCGGCCGGCGCCTGGTCACCTCCGCAGCCGCTGCTGCTCCATCCCGCACCGATACGACACACTCACCGCCATAACGACACCCTTCACCACTTACTCATCTTCGGGTGGCATTTAGAACTACAAGAAAATAAAGCCATCCGTTCCCCTTATTACACCGAGTGCCAGTTTTATAAGGGACATATCCTTCATGAAACGGATTCAGCAGTCACAGTGACAGAGTGTGAAGGACAGTTGTATGGGTTATTAAAAGTTGGGAAAGAAGAATTTGTGCTGCAGCCAACTTCAACGGAGGAGGGGGCCCATGTGCTGCGGCGTCGTGATGTGTTGCGACAAAATCAGCCTGTAGCATACAACCTAACCGGCGACACGGTCAGTGACTTTGAACTTGACCTGAAGGAAGATGACCTGCCGCGATGGCACGTGCGCGCGCTCCATGGCAACAAAGATGATACCGAATACTTTCGAGAAGCGATGCCTGTCATTTCTAGACCGGTTTCAGGTGCGTGCCAATAAAGTTTTTGGTCATAAAACTAACAACATTAAGTTACGAATGATACATGTGTTCCAGGTGTTAAAGGATTGTGGCTGGAAATGGCGATTATAGCGGATCATACCATGCTAAAATTTCACGGTTGGGAGCGAGGGAGACATTATATTTTAGCATTAATGAATATTGTGAGTATTGCATTGTTATTGTTTCCTCCTTATATAAATATCGCTTATATTGCATATCATGGCATGAATCAATTGTTGTTTACATAATTAAATCTGTACAATACTGTTTAAGGTCAGCGCTATCTTCAATGATCCTACTTTGAACTCGAATATGACGTTGGTCATTAAACAGCTGCATTTATATAAAGAGAAGGATAATGTTATAAAAATTGACAACGCAAGAAAATCCTTGCACGCTGTGAATAAATGGAACTACAGGCATATTATGAACCTAACAACAGGTAAAATAAACAATGTTTACTTTCAATTTACGCATTTTAAAACCAAAACTGAACATCTTTCATTTTGTTTAATAAATTGAACTTGACCCAAAAACATCTGTTATAAACATCTGTTATAAATACCGCATCTCAGATATACGTAAGTTGCTACTTGTTGATAAAAGCAACATAACATTACTTTGTATGAAATACGCGAAAGTCGACGCCGCGTGTTAACATCGCAAATTCGTTGTCCGTGTCATTCAAAATTTATTTCACGTTTAAATTTGCATAAAATTGAAGGCAGAATTATACCTCTGTCATCGTATTTTAATGCGCGTCGGGTTCAATGCAGTTCAACTAATCCAAACTTAAATATTTAATATACAATATCTAAGTTAAATTGTAATACATAACTTGTAACCTATTTACTTATATCGCGTCATTGGTGTAATAAGGCTAGATCTGCAAAATGACATTTTAGGGCCCCAAGTCCGATAGAGCGTCAATGGCAGGATTTTGTAGGTACGTTTGGTATTCTGATAAAAGTTACGAGTAGCGGCTAGCCATCGCGTTACTATTCAATGCTATTACTTGATGGCGTAGTCTACTAATAAAAAATACATTTAACCCTTAACCAGAATTGTTATTTTGATCAACTTACGTCTTACTCTGGCAACGCGGATCCTACATATTATATTCCTAAGTTACAATAAAAACTAATGGTTAGTAGTGTTTTAAAACAAATTTTATTTAAAATATAAATAAACTTCTTCTACTTCTATTGAGCATTATCTTTCAATTAATTAATTTTTTGTTCCCAAGTTTAGCAAGATTTTTTAATACCCTACTTTATCACGCTATAAAAATAAAAAAATAAACAAAATCTACTACTACGGGGTTTCACGTATCTTCCCGTTAAAAATAGAAACACTTTATAAGATCAATTAAAAATAATAAAAATAACAAGCTAATCTAAAAATTATATTGTGGCTTTTAACTTTGGAGTTGCTAGGTGGTGGTTGTTATCAGGTCCATATTGACCCACGACGCCGGGGGTTAATTCGGAGACTAAATGCAAACGCGATAATTGTACCTAAAATGTGCATTGCAATTTCCATGGTAATTTTAGTAAGGCGATATCAATAGTTATTTATTAGTAATTGAATGAATGAATGCCATCACTGCCATTCTACTGACACTGTATTGAGACTGAACGGCCATTGCAACTAGATTTTAGCAGAATAACAAATTATAATTGCAATATGACCTTAGTGGAGTCTCAATGGATTTACAAAGAGCAGTGATTTCGAGAAAAATAACACACTTGAAGTTGTAAAGATTCTTTGAACGAAATCAGTAGGTAACCTAAAACAGTTATAAAATTTCACATACAGAAAGAACGAAAGAAACGTTGATTCAGCTTAAGAATACACTAACAAAGTAAATGATTACGTATACCTATAAGCTGAAACGGATCCAACTCGGCATATCGAAGCCTTACTTTCTCAGACTCGTATCTTATGAAGAGTGACATTATTCTGGAGATGGCATAACTTTCTATTTATTTTTAAATTCTTGTCAAGGGTGTTAATTTTGATGAATTAATTGAAGAATAGGTAAAAGTCAGTGTGTGAATACAAAGGAAATGTGATGTGAAATTAGCCTGCTAAATTTGTATATATAGTCCAACTTTGTGCTTTATGATATGAATTTGGGAAAGGATGGCGATAATACAGCTTGCCTGCTGTACCGCTGGTTTTCAGTTGGAGCCGCTTTTATAAGATGGATGGCAAGAAAGTACTAATATAGTTAACTCTAAAATTACAATAATATATAACTTAAATTTTAACTAAAAACAAGTGGTAAAATGATTAACAATAGTAATTATTACATAACTTGGATGTATATAAAATACTGCTTTTGTGAGACATTTATAAAGAAGAACTAGAAAAGGCTGTCATTATTGCCGCAAGCAATTTCTTCTATTATTACATGATTTTGCATTTTAAATGTATGTATTAAATTTTACACTTTAGATTATGCATGATTTGTTTCATGAAATTCATTTTATTTTTATTGCTTTCATGTTTTAAAAGCACTTCTAGATGTTTGATCACACGTGGCTTATTTCAAATTGTAGTGGATCTTTGGAAATAATAATTATCACAACTACTTAAAATGGTAAACGATTATCTAATATTATACTACTACACAAACTTGTTCTTACAAACTATGACCTTATACTATACTACTATACAAATTTTGTACTATACAAAAAATACCCATGTGCTTGTAATTTTGCTCATATTACTGCTTGGCGCCAAAAATAGGTAAGGAGCTCTGCTAGCTCCTTGTGAAAGAGTTTGTTGAAGAAAGTACTGCCACCTTACCTATTTCTGCCGCCAAGCAGTAAGCGTTCCGGTTTGGAAGCGTAAGGCTCAATTTGTATTGCAGCGGAACGGAATGGAAGCGAATTTTCGTAACGAAATTGTACATAGCATAACGAACTTTATGGTCAAATAGTGTAACGTACATTCAGATACGAGTCAAAATCTTCAGCGAAATTCTCGAAAATAAAATCGCATTCTACGGAAGATTTTGGCTCGTATCTAGTTTGTACGTTACACAATTGACCATAAAGTTCATAATACTATGTACAATATCGTTACACAAAGTCGCTTCCATTCCATTTCGCCGCAATATAAATTGAGACCAAGGGTGTTGGTGAAATGACAACTTATGTCTCAGGGAGACGGACGCAGTGGCAGTGTCTAAGATCTTTGCGATTTAAAGCTGTGGCACAGCAACTGTCATGAATACGCGCCACTTGGTATCATAAAAAAATTTCAAATCAAAGTTATTTGCTTTCTTATTGCGCACACCATATACACAACTAGGTCCTGTCATAGTATTCGTGTTGGTTAAGAAGTACATTATGTGCAAATACAGATACTAAACAATTAAATAAGTTTAGACATCTGCTTCATTGATTAACGAATTTCCACTGAAAGTTTTATATCTAGATCTTTTATTACGTATTTTTTTCAAACAAACAACTTTTCAGGGTCTGTGAAACGATTTGGATACGACTTAATATTTTCACTTTTAATTAATATTTTATTCCCGATACTTATTCGTTTTTCGAAAAATTTAGTTTAAAATTGTCAATAAAGTATTTATTTATGTTTTTCAAAGCAACTTCCTCCTTAACATGTTAATATCACATGTTGTACTCGTACAATGTCATTTATTTAAAATGCTTGTCGAGCCAATGCAGTCTGATGCGTCCACGAGATTCTTAATAAGGCCTAATTAAAACTCTGATTGGTGACTCGGCTCCGTCAATTTACGACGAAAACTTTACAACGCCATTAAAGGAGAAACAAGTTGTTTATTTTGACTTGTTTGCATTATTTTGTTACGTCGATTTAAAGAGATACTAGAAGAAGCAAATAGGTAATTACATGATATTGAAATCAGGGTTCGAAGTGATAATTATTATTGATAATTGCAATAATATACCTTGATAATTAGATCATCATAAGAGCCAGGCATTGTCGGTGTAGCCTCCTCCACTCTTCACGGTTCATAGCTAGTATCTTGACCTCTTTACATCTGTTCACTCTGATCTTCTTTTTTATTTGTTCACTATACGCCATTATTGGTCTTCCTCTCTTTCTTTTCCCTTCTATCCTACCCTCCTCATTTTCCCCCCTTCTCCTCTCTATTGAATTCAAAAACTTCTCTCCTCCCCAACCCTTTCCAAAACTTCTTCATTTGATCTCTTTTCAACCCATTTTATTTTTTCCATTCGCCTCCAGCACCACATTTCAAATTACTCCAATCTCTCTATAATCAGATAATTCAATATTAATTTTACAAATATCACGATTGATATTTATAAAATTTATTGGAACAACAAAATGCTACCGCTGGCAATATCGTGTCATGTGATTGAATCCAAGACGAATCTATAAACGTGTCAAATACGTCAATCTCACAAAAGTCATAATTAAGTCCTTTTCCCAAAACTTTTGCTTCATATTTTTTTCACTGTCTATCATTTTTAGCCAAAATTTACAGAGGCAGAACTATGATTCAGCGTGGATAATTATCATGGTACGCCCTGCAGTCTTATTAAAAATACTCTCAATTTAATCGAATATATCGTTTTTTCGCTATTGTTCCACATAGGAAATGAAACTATGTTTTCGGGGCTACATCGCGACTCACGCAACTTGTAAAGAAACGTTGGCTTCGCGGCTTTCCTCTTCCGATGATGCCTTCCACGTTAGCTCTATATATTTCATTCGTTAATCTTTTTTTTCTTTTTTTATAATACCAAGTGAAGGGACGAACAAGTCGTGCGTGCGCCTGGTGGTAAGCGACACGCCTATCCGTAACAGTTGTAGTGCCATTTAGAGCTTTAAATCGCAAAGATCTAATGAGCACCGCCACTGCGCTCGTCATCTGAGACGTAAGTTGACAAGTCCCATGCGCATGTAATTTCACCAGCACCCTTACCCTTCTAAACCGGAACGCAATAAAGCTCACATTACTGCTTGGCGGCAGAAATAGGTAAGGTGTCAGTACTTCCTTACACGAACTCTTTCACAAGAATCTACATGAATTCATCCGCTCCATATCCCCAAACCACCCCATAATAATAATAATAATAATAAAATTTAAAATAAATACGAAAATAATAATAATAACGCACACACTCAACATAGCCCCGCACTAGGGAAACCCTGTGTCGCGGGTGCTATGGACACACACATAGACAACCACAAATTACACCCAAACTCACGAGAGAAATAAATGTACGCCATATATATATTTCTCCCGGCCCGGGAATCGAACCTGGGAACTCTGCGAGGTAGTCATGGTAACCGTTCGGCCACGGAGGTCAAATATATCCATTTCTATTTCTGTCAAAACATCTACTGATTACAGTTGGTAAACGTGACTTTGTTATTTCAATCAGGCTAATATTTCAGGTACTACGGGGTGGGACGCTGCGGTATGGCTGACGCGTGCTGAGCTAGGTGGTCCGTCGGGTTTTGCCCCTGTCGGTGGGATCTGCAGCCACTACCGCTCCGCTGCTATTGTCCGCGACGAAGGCCTCACTAGCGCTTTTGTCATCGCGCATGAAATTGGTCATCTGTAAGTAACATCTGTGCATGAAAGTGAATGACTGAATGAACGAATGAAATATTCTTTATTGCATATTTGTGCGACGTAACATATTCTTACAAATGATAACTATTAATACAAAACTCGAACACAGAAAAAAATCCTTCGATGCGGTTGGATTCGAACCAATATCTTCCAGTAAACCGTGCCAGACGCTATGCCAACTAAGCCACAGAAAGAACTAACGGTCCTTACGAATTTTTCTATGTGCTTGTTGCAGATTTTTGTTTTTGGTTTTTTAAAGACTCTTTTACCGTAGCGTCAAGAGAAATCTATGAGAAATCTATTTCTTCACTCAGCCATGTACCTTTACATCTCCCAGCAGATGACTAAGGTTGTCGGTTTAATAATTGTAATTGTTAAGTTTATTCAATGTCACGATGTTTGGCCACCATTGATGTTCAGTATGATACCGGTTAAGAATGTTTATTAGTTCATAGGTGTGAACTGATTACACTGCACGATGGCTGATTATGAATAAATAATATAGGTACTAATAATTCATTCATTATAATAAGTTATGATAAAATGTCGCATGAATACGTAAAACGCTCCATAAACACAGTATATGGTATTGCACCGTACAATGATAACACGAAACAGTAGCGTGAATATCACGGAATAAGCGAACGTACGATAGTCGACCTTATTGCTAAGTTGCAATTTCTTTTAGGCATTCTTAAAAATTTAAGAGCTAGAAGGGTGGTGCAACCAAGGAATATCTCTTAATGGAAGTGTTTTAAATAAATACATTACTCATTAATAAAATAAATATATAAATAATAAACACAATAGATTATTTATGATTGTAACAGATAATAATAAAATTTACTTATATGGTTTTGTAATATCAATAATAATAAATAATAAATATAATAAATAGTAAATAGTTAATAATGATAAACAAATATTCTTAGGAAAATTATAACACTATGCAAAAAGGATATAGGTAAATGAAGGGAATGGAGAGAGTCTTGGAAACTGATTAAGTATTGTTCAATATGAACCAAGTGTGTTAGTGTAATGACACATGAGTTACAGCTCTACAATACCGTTTCAAACCAAAACACTGTAATGTGCAAAAAAGTTTTCGTTTAATTTTTTGGAATTTTTGAGGTTAATAACTTAAAATGATACGAACAGCCATGGTGAGGCAACAGACACTGGTTCGTTGACAAACGCAGTGGAAATGCCCCTCCGATCTTTACGTTTTAAAGCTCAGAGTAGCAATTGTTATGGACAGACGTGTCGCTTCCTACCAGACCCACGACTTGTTCGTCCCGTAACTTGATATCATAAAGAAAAAAAAAATTTCATATTTATACATTATTGTCATATATTTATACAATATTTTCATTTTCATACATTGGTATAGAGCCCTAACCGTTGTTTTTTTTTAAACAAATGTACGGTATCCGTATCCTCCAACCGTAGCCAGGGCTCCGTCACTCGCTCAAGGTTACGCGATAATTGCATACCGCTGAGTGCGCCGACGTCGGCGCATGCGCTCATACAGGTCTTTCATTTATGAGCATTCGGCTCCGCACGACTGCAGACGGCGGGCAACGTTATGATCACCTCTCTAAGCGCGTGCTTAGATTTTCTTTTCCTCGTAGTGAGCCCCTGGTGTCATTGGTCAGATTTAGTAGGCTATTATAGCGTAGGTATTTTCGATTTTGTATGAGAGTGATGTATTTGTTACATAGTAATTATTAAGTAATCTGTGCCGTGGCTCATTTGGCAGAGCGATAGCCACGTTGAGGCAACAGACACTAGTTCATGTCCGATGGAATCGAAGGAATTTTTCGTTGTGTTTATTTGATCTTTGTATCTTTTTAACATTGAACTAGTGGAGTATTTTCCCAAAAAATATCATGATAGCAAAAACATTGTGATATTTGATAAAATCATAATATTATTATAAAAAATACATTGAGCTAGTTATGTTGTACATTGGATATTAAATAATTCTATCCAGCCATTATTATTTTACTCTGCAAAATAAGTTACTTCTATTGAAAAACGAATATATTTATTTTCCCTTCTTCTTATCGTATCGATGGCTAAAATTTGTAATGGTGCACAATAAAATGTTAACATATATAATATATAAAAACCGTAATATTATTGTTGTAATGAAATCACGTCCGCCTACACGGTAATTAAGACTTTGAAATCAACTCTATATGGGTAGAGACATTTCATTATTGACTGAATCGAGTTCTCACATTTTCCCCATTCGAACTTATTGACGTAGCAGACTTTTAATATTGCGACATCAACGTTGTTTCGCCAATGATATGTTTGGGTGGGCTGGGGACCTTCACGCATGAATGAGCACCATTGCTACGGAAGAAGTAACAAAGGGCACACCTTTTATAGATTTTGTCTCACATATGAATCATACTATGATATGTTAGCACAATAGGTGTGACATATTAAGTATTAACTGGTGCCTGCAATGTCGTCTACGTTGAATAAGTACTGGAATACCCTATTTCATTTTGAGGGGTGTTTGGTCAAAAATGCTGAGACATTGTTTATTTCTTATAAAAGGCATAAATATGAATTTTCAGATCAATTAGTTGAGAAATTATTGATTCTCCATACTAACTTTCATCCTCTATTTCACCCTCTTTAAGAGTCTGTACAACCTCAAATGGCTTTGGTTGATTGCGCATAACAGCGAAAGTGTCGAATAAATCACTTTGGAAAAACGAAAGTAAAATTGAGGATATCCACTGAGTGAAAACACGATGTGAAAAACACGATTTCTACAAATTATAACAAAAAAAAAACACAAACCTACCTCGAAATTTTATAAAAAAACCTTACATACACCAATGATTTTTTTAATGTCAACTGAATAGAACACGTATATTGTATAGGATATACATTTTTCAAATGTCTTTAGTTTCATTGGTAAAAAAATTCATTCTAAAATTAAGCAAGTGACCTTGCCGCTCGACTCGCGCAAAAGAACCGATAGTACGTGAAAATTTTGAATTCAAGCTGAAGTCGTATCGACTCGTAAGATTTATTTTTGTGACAAAACATAGCCTTATCCTTCTACTAAGTCCCACCAAAATTCATTAAATTTAGTTCAGCGGTTTGGGCGTGTAAACGTAAGACATAGTTACTTTCGTATTTAGAACGGGATTATTCTTATCGTTATAAAGTCAATTAATAAAATATAAATGGATAAATTAAAATTCCTGAGGCTCAATTTATATTGCAACGGAACAGAATGGAAGCGAATATTTGTAACGATATTGTACATAGCGTAATGAACTTTATGGTGAATTGTGTAACGTACAAACTAGTTTATTTTAGTTACTTCCATGGTATAGTGTCCTACGGGAAGTGGGGTAAAGCGACAGATATTCAAATCATATTTGTATTGCAAAAACAAAACGAACGATTCGTTCTGTGTACCGTCTAACCGTCTAGGCTCTCGGATTTCTCTCAGAGAAAAGTTTAAGGAGCTGGTATCATGACTGTGGCATCACAGTACATTTACTCAAATATTTTATACGCCCGTAAAAATATACATAATATCAATAAGAAAGAGGATATCCATAATATTAACTTTAGAGCTAAGTCCAAACTCATGGTACCACGATTTCGTTTAACCAAGGTAAACGACTCTTTTATGGGGAACCGTATACGTTTTTACAATAAGATTCCGCAGCATATATTAAGACTATCTTTTCCTAAGTTTAAAAGTATTTTGATTGAAAAGTCATATTACAAAATTGAAGACTGCGTGTTAGATAAAGATGTATGGAAAGACGACACGGCTCCAGAATCCACACAAATTTGATTCAAAGTGTATTCCATAGCATTTAAGTTTATTTGAAAACAGCAATCCCTAGAGTTTCTTGCTCGTTCTTCTCAGGGAAGTCAGCGTACCGAACGTGCAGTAGCTTAAAGCAGTAGTTTAAATATGACGTTTTCAAGTGTAAATTTATTTTACCTATGGAATAAATGGTACTTTGACTTTGATATTGTTACTAGCCAAAAATCATGTCGCGAGTCTTTCGCGGAATTCTCGCTCATGCTCGTGAATACTCGCGCATTCGCGAGAATTCCGCAGCTGCCGTTGGCGACGGCTGGCGCATCCACGGGAAGTGGCGCGAAGGCAGGCACAGTGTGACGTCAACGAAATACAACAGCCTCAAGGTGCGGTCGTTGAAATGCTCCAGCGTTCGCGGGAATGCTAGATCATTCAAGCAACCGGGTGAACCTTCTCGCGTTTCCCTTTCCGCCGCAAAGTAAATTGAGCCTTAGAAGTTATTTTTTCATGTTACCAAGTGACGGGACGAATAAGTTGTACGCGTGGTGGTAAGCGACACGTGTGTTCATAGCAGTTGCAATGCTACTCAGAGTTTTTAAATCTCAAAGACCCACAGACCATAGGTGCAAAGACCTGAGGAGCATTGCCCCTGCACCCGTAATCCTGAGACATAAATTGATAAGTCCCATGTGCCTGTAATTTCACCAGCACCCTTCAAAACCGGAACGCAATAATGCTTACATTACTGCTTGGCGGGTGAAATAGGTAAAGTTGGTCATATTTGCTTTATTAAGAGATCTATTTATCTCTAATACATACAGAAGGTGAGTTGCACCGTTTAAAATATTCAACTATATATTTCTGTGCAGCAAAAAATAATACAAACTCTCGAGACACTTATTGAACGCGAAAACCTAAGAACTCGTTCTTAGGTTGTCATGATGGTTACATATAGGAAATGAAATTATTGTCTAGTTTTATATTTATATTTAGTTAGCCGTGAATTGAATCTATAAAAGGCACGTTTGGTTTGTTTGAAAAACTAATTCTAATTCAAATCTTCTTTTCGGACAAAATATCCATGTAGTGTTAGTAACAAAATACTTACAAACTATGTTAACATAAATCGTCTAAACATTGACGTGTACCCGTACCCATTGATATAATATGGGCC